ATAGTTTTTTCCAGAATAAATCTCAATTCATTTTCACAATTTTAAAAGTGTGTGCAATTGCACAGTGTACATAAAATACTGATGTGCATGTAATATTGCCTTTCATAAACTCCTTAAAAATAGTCTAATTACATATTTTTATTACTATATTTTATGGTCCATAAATATTAATTCAACATTAAGTTATTAAAAGTATTAAAGGTATTAAAAGTTCAATTTTAGTAAATTTGAATAGTAAATATAATAATATTTTTAGTAAATCAATTCAATTATTTGTAATTCACTTTTTATCTTTTTGAAAATCTTGCTATTATCTATATTAATATAATATTAAGATTTAATGTAATTGGCAATTTATCTGAAGAAAAATATAAAAAGATATTATAATTAAATTACTTAAAAAACAATTTATTTTGTAATAGTAATTTATAGATTGCAGTCTAATATGATCTGTTAAAATAAGGTTGTAGATTTCTATGTACAATAGTGTTAGAATTTAAATATTACATTATATTATATTATATATTAACAAAATATTAATATGCTTACTAAAATATTATTTGTTAAGGGGGTCGGTGCTGGTCATTTATTAAGGAGTAAAATTTAGGCAATTAAATTTACACGTTGTATCAGCGGCGCGCTAATCGTTCATGAATATGAGTGTGTAAATCGATATTAGTGTGCGTAAGCTATAAGATAAAATTACTCTCGCTGCGCGTTATCGGATGTGTATCTATTTGTATTTTATACGTCTTATTAATCCATACGTTATCGTTTCATAGAATTACTGTTATGAATTGTGTTTATTATTATTATTATCATTATTATTATTATTATTATTATTATTATTATTATTATTATTATTATTATTATTATTATCAACTGGAGATCACAATAATTGACGAAGTCTCTTGCTTTCAACGATCGACTCTTATTCACAATTAAATATTACGTACTATATGATGAATTATGTGTGTTTTTATTTATATTTAAAAAAAAATATTAAAAAACTGATTTTAAGCTAATTTTAGAAAGGAATTTTGATGAATTTTGAAAATGCAATTTTTCAATGTTTACACGCAAAAAAGTAAGTATGTTAAATAAGTTTTGACTTTTCCAATCTAAATATTATGCGTTTAAAACCACATATTTTAAAAAAAAAAAATTTAAATATTAAATTCTAAGTATTTAAAAAAAAAAAATGCGCGTTATGAAAAAAATGAAGTTTTTCATCAATAACTTCAAAACGAAGTTTGTCCGGGCTTTTATTTTACATATTTATAAAATATCCTAAAGCACACATTTTGGAAAAAAAAATTAAAGAAAATCGATGGTTGCTAAACTAGAATTATGCCGTGTTTTTTTTTATTTTATCGCAAATAATACAAGATATGGAAAACAAAAAAAAATATTCATATAAAAAAAATAATGTAACTACTTATCGAAAAAAAAAGGACGGAAGCATACATAAATACCTTATGTATAATAAATAGAACACGGATACTAATATAATAATATACTATACAGTGATCAGTGAATCATATTGTAAACAAATTAATACATTAATTTTATGTAATAATGTTCATGAAATATTAATTATTTCTTTTATTTACCTATGTTTAGTTTTAGTTTTAAAAATAAAACAGAAAATGTTTCTAAAATACAATGTAGTTCTAAAAAATTAGATACACCATCAACGAGCAGTCATTCTATAGACACGTGTCTTATGGTCTTAACCAATTGTAAGTTATATATATACGGTATATCCACTTGCTTGCAATTTTTTCAACAGTTTTTTTTTTTGTTTTTAGATTTAATGATGAGGATCGTCGTATAGTTGACATGGGTAATGTGTTATGTAGAAACGCAATTGGTCGAATTTTATAATTATTATTCACTAAAAGAAAATTTAAATCCTACAATTTTAAAATAAATGGCGATTTTATAAACTATTATTATTGTAATTATTAGTCGTGTATTATTATCATGTACTAGTTTATATTTTATTTAGATACATTTTTACGATAATAATATAATAATATATATAAATATATAATGGACAGCTGTTACAATTTGTAACTAACAAACGGATACTATTTTTTTTTTTTTTTTTATTATAATAAAGTGTAAATAATTAAATTATAGGAATTTGTTTTATTACTTCAGGTAAAACAAAATAATATAGGGAATAAAAATTGAACATAAGAAATTGGTGTTCTAGGGCGCAGACTGATGAACGTATATGATATGGTGAGGAGTGACGACGACGGTACCGGGGTCTGATACGGTCGTACGGAAAAATACAACGGCCGCCGAAGCTTGTTTTTATTCCGAATATTATATACAAGCCGTATCAATAGCAAATTATTTTTAATCTTATGGGGAACTGCGATATGCGATTTATACTGATTGTGTGCGATGATAAACGCGCAGATAAGGATATTTACGCACACGCACGCACAAGTCAGTGATCAATTTTGGTCACTATTTTTCGAAGCACTGTTTAGATGAATAATAATGCTTTTACGGGAGAAACTCTCATACCACAGTTATATGTCAGATTTTGATAAATTTTGTTTTTTTCTAAAAAATGAGAACATTTTGCAGGTCGGATCAAAGCCCGAATTTTCGTTTTACTTTGAACAGTGCTAAAAAATTACATTTGAAAAAAAGCAAATATTGTGCATTATTGGAATAAATATTTTAGATTCTCTAATTATAATTTTGAAAATTATGTTTTGATCCGACCTGCGAAATGTTTTCTTCTTTTGAATAAAAAAAAATTATCAAAATTCGACAATTCTATAGAACGTGAGTTTTTGCTGTAAGACATGTTTTTGTACATTAAAACCGCACTGGCTCCGCTCCCTTAAGTTGGTTTATTTACATGTTACTTAATTAAGCAGTTGGAATATACTTTATACCAATGGTTTTTCCCGTTTCTTTAATAAACCATTGTGAGTGAAGTCAAAAAAAACTAAACAAATATAGTTATGTCTGAGGACATTACTAAGCAATTTATTTTTGTGGTGATTATTACTTCATATTTTTTGAAACTTAACTTCAAATACTATATGTATAAATTAGATTAATTATATAATGCATTGGATATTTAAAAAAATATTTTTAAATACTTTGCCATTAATTAATCATTTCAATAATTCATAACAATTTTCAAAATTTGGATTCTGTCCACGCACTTTTGTTCTTATAAACTTTATAATATTGCTGACTAAATTCTAAATTTGTTTAATCACATTTATAATAAACATAATTGGAAAGCCTACTCTGCCAAAGTACTATAATCCTGATTTCTAAATAATTTAAAATAATAAACTATAATTCCATTTAGAATTTAAAAAAAATTCGGTAATTTGTTAAGATTATGTATTGAAAACTAAATTAATCAAAAATCATAACTATGCACAGGTATATACGCAAGGTGTTCTAACCTTATGAATAAAAACCTATTACTACTTATATGAATATCTGTATAGAGTAATGACACCAATTAGCATTTTCAGTATTCAATAACAATTATGATGGTATAATGGTTATTATCTGTTGTGATCCTATTATATAATTATAAATAAGAGATTCAAATATATATTTAAAAAGATAACTGAATAAAAATTACACTAAATTAATTGAAAAGAAATAGGTAAAATTTCACAAAGTACAAAATTAATACTTCAAATTTGAACATAGTGTTACGTGATTTAATAATTTTATATAAAGAAACTTCTGATTAAAAATATAAAAAAATATACATTTATTTAAAATTATTAAATTTCTAATAAAATTAAATTATGCATTATTTGTATGTTAAATTATACATTTTTTTTGATAAATTATAATATATGAATGTTAAGCTATTAACATATAACCTTTATAACAATATAATAATTATCAGTAACTACTTAATTTAATAAAATTAAAATTTTTTAGTGTTATTCATACTGACGGTATAAATAAATAGTTTAAATGATTTTCTATAATCCATTTTTCATTTTATTTTATGCAATAGTTATTATCATGAATGTTTTAATTATAAGACGTTCCAAGATAATAATTATTAAAATCTTTCTAATGTGAAACTTTTTTGTTACGAATTTCTAATTGTTATGCAATATAAATAGTACAAATAGAGTACCTAATTAAGAAATATAAGCAAACACATAATTAGAATATAAATAAATAGAAAATTCTCCAAAATAATAACTATTGACAAAATTGAACATTTTATCTTAAAAATATCTATGATAATAATTATAATTAATTATAATCAGTTACCTCATAAAAAATACCAAAATATTTTACATTATATTTAGCAATAACAATTTTTAGAAGTCTTTTAATTATTTCATGACTTACTTGATTATATAATTCTAGTTCTATTATATAATGAAAAAATTAAAGAAACTATTTTTTACATATCCAATTCCTCTAATCATTTAAATAATTTTTGTTGAATTCGATCACAGGAAATCTCTGGGTTGCAGCGTTGGTAATCAAATAATATATGTCAAGTTAACATTTGGGTTCTAAAACAGTATTTACTGAAGATGAATAGGTACATGAATAGGTAGCTATCCCAAAAACATCATAAAATATTCGAGAAAAATATACAACCTTTACCAGGTATGTACAACAAGATAAACGTTAAGATGACGAGATGGATACAAGTGACGATGACCGAATAATGTGGTCAACCGCAACTATCGTTAATAAAGTACAACTGTAGTACATAATTTATTGATGAATACAACGGTTGTAGACGAACCTAGTTGTTATTTCTGAAAAAATGACTGTTGAACGTATGGTGAACACCGAGAACTCGACAAAAAGCGTAGTTTGCTAGTTGTTATTGATTAGAAACACTACTCATTATCAGTTATCGCCTTGTTATCTACGAACCAAACCGACGACCACGGTTACAGCTGTTACCGCTTATCACGGACACCGTTATCTGGCCGCTGCCCAATTAGCTATCATTGTTGATTGGTGATATCAGAGGCCCTGTGATTAAGGGCGCGCCGAATACAGGCACGATGAGGGCACGTGCACACGTTAACACCGTGGCCTAGTAAACGCTGTTCGTCGTGACCGAATCGTGTACCTACCACCTGCAGCTGGTAGTGCTTTCGAGCGTCTAATAAAAGCCGGTCGATCGTCGATTGCAATCGGTTCCGTCGCCACCGTCCGGTCACGATCAGCGCACGTGTGAGTACTAAACTATCCGTTGTTATAACATCGCGGTGGCGTCACATCGCTGACCCGTGCGCGGCCCATGCAAGCCGTGCGGTCTGTTGCTGCGCGCGATAACGCTTACGTTATTCATCATCGCGCGGTCCCGGCAGTACGACGCTGCCCGTTGTGGCACCACGACGCCGAAATCCGACCGATGACCGTTAATGTTTTCCGTGTTTGATTTCAGTCTGGTAACGCGCTCAGTGAAACCGTGTACACCGCATCCCGTCGACGTCGGTTCACCAACCCGTCACGGAGACGCCGGTATACGGTCGTTCACATAACCGTATCGCTCGTCGTAGAAGCGCTCGCGCCTCCATCCAATAACGTGATATGGCTGCCGCATCTGCGAACACCATTGCCGCTGTGGTAGCGGACGAACAACATGGCGGGTTCACGATAAGCCCGGCCGCGCACCAGCAGCAGCAGCAACCGGACGCGATGACGACCACGTCGCCGCTGGTCGGTCTGGTCAGCGGGTGCGCCGGTGCTGTGGCGCTCGTGTACGTGGGACAACCGTTGGACACGGTCAAGGTGCGCATGCAGCTGTCGGCGGCTTCCAGCGCGGTAGCGTCGGGTGGCGGCGTGTCCATGTGGAGTTGCGTGCGCGACATGTGGCGTCAGGCATTGGTGGCTCCGGTACCGCTCCAACGGCACCCGGACGGAACGGCAGTAGTCCGCAGAGGCGTCGTCGAGGCGTGCGCGCTACCGACTGCGGCCACGAGCCAGACCAGCAAAGCGGCCGCGGCCGCACGCATGGCCCGGCTTATGTACGCCGGCACGGCGCCCGCGCTTCTGGCCAACGTGGCCGAGAACGGAGTGCTGTTCGCGGCGTACGGCCCGTGCCAGCGTCTGGTGGCGTTCACGATGGATCTATTTGGCGGCGGCGGCGGCGGCGGTGCCGTCGAAGACGCGGAGAACAAATTGGGCCCGGCCGGCATGGCCACGGCGGGCAGCCTGGCGTCGCTGTGCTCCGCATTCGCGCTGTGCCCCACCGAACTGATCAAGGTCCGGTTGCAGGCGGCCGACCTGGAGAGGTTGAACACCGCGAAGAACGGAGGAGGCGCGTCCAAACAGCCGCACGGAACTAGGGTCGCGGCCGGCACGCTACAGGTAGTGGCCGACGTGTGGAAGACCGAGGGTGGTCTGCGAGGCATGTACCGCGGGCTCGGGTCGACGGTGGCCCGGGAGATGCCCGGTTACTACGTGTTCTTCTTGGCGTACGAGGCGAGCCGCACTTACTTGAACGATTGGCATCACGGGCCCGTCGGTAAGACGACCAACCGGGACGAACCTACTTGGGTGACGATGATGGCTGGCGCGGCGGCCGGCACCTGCCTCTGGCTGGTCGTGTATCCCGTGGACGCGGTCAAGTCGCGCATTCAAGCTTCCAGTGGTGGCGGCGGCGGCTGCGTCGAGACCTCCAGCGGCAATTTCTTGAAGACCATGGCGCTGTCTGTGCGCACCGAAGGCCCACTAGCCCTGTACCGCGGCCTCGCGCCCACCTTGCTGCGCACCGTGCCTGCGTCCGCTGTCATGTTCTGGACCGTGGAGCGCACCAACTCTCTGCTGACCGGTTACGGGCTCTAAAGCACTCGTTCGGGACTGCGCAACACCCTGCGATTTTTAACTTATATCTACAACGACCGCGCCGGTTAGACATCTATTATATTCCTATAAATATGTATTATTTCCTGGTGTGTGTATCTCCATCGGCGGCCGCGTCTACCAAACCATATCTCGACCCTCCCCTCATAGCTCCTAACGCCGCCGTCGACGATGTGCATCACGTGTCAATAGAATATCGCAATACGTTACAAAGTTTGTTCATTTCCATGTATAAAAAACGTGTTTAGACGTATTGATGTGTAAAAAAAAGCTTACGGTGCAGTTAAACGCTAATAATACGTGTTTTTCTGTTCGAAATCGGGTGCCTGGAAATAGGTTTTTATTTTTATTATTTTTTTCCAGCCAAATTGTATGGCAAGTGTATAATATAGTGTTTTGTTAAAGATTTTTTTTTATTTTTACATTTGACAAAATGCAATAAATATGTATTGCTCATTTTTAGTTGAACACAGTATAATTGTTATCTAGATTTTTACGTTTAATATTCTAGTATTTATGTATAAAAAATAAGTGCAAACAAGTCTTCCATATACTTTATTACTATAATTATAGTGCTCAGTTGTTGTTGTTATTAATGTTTGACAGTTTAGTTAAATTGTAATTATTTTTTTATTATTATTTACAAAAAAATATTTCTTATTGTTATAATAATTTTTAGGGCAATATCATCGACGTCTCCTTTGCGTTTTGTAATTTTTCTCTGATCTGATGATTTGTGTTTGGTCTCGCCCATCTACCTTTACAGTAAATCTCCCTTTGAATAATTTATCGATACATGACACAATATCTATGACTGAATGTATTTGTACGTCGTTCTTGTAATGTATAATAGAATTTGTAGACTGCCCACAATATGAATTTTTATATTTACATCTTTCTCTGACGTCAGTAGACTTAAACTCGTTGTAATTTTAATTTCCTTCGTCCTTGTCATGTGCACCAGATGTACACAATAATCATTGAAAGTCAAATCTAATGAATTATAATAACAACAACTTATGATCTCGATGACAGCGATAGGCAATCGAATGACTTTTGGTGACTGATTTTGTGTGCCACTGGCTTTGGAACATTGGAAAAAGTGTACTTTTGCATTTCAACTTTATTTGTTTTAAATTATTTTTTTGGAAATTGGTTCTTTTACATTGTGACTGATAAATTTCAAAGTACCTATTCCACGTTTTAGATAATTTTGCATTAATTAAAAATACTGCACTGCTCTTCATATGTGAAAATTCAAAGTCTATCTCTAGGTAATAGAAATAACCGTTTAGAATTGTGCCAAATTAGAAGTATTTAAGTAAAATGTATTATTTGTTTATTATAATAAAGCAATTATTATTTTATTTAGTAAAACTTACAAATAATATAAGCAAGTAAAAATTTTTAACTAAAAGTTTTTAGAAAATATGAATAGTTTCAATTTATTTATTCAGGAAATAATCAAAAAATAATCAAAATTATTTTTAGTGTTTTGATACCCACGCCACTATAATGTAATTATATGTATTAAGTATTAAGTTCGTATTTTAAAACAACTCGGCAATGATTTAAACTACACCAGTGTTATAACCTATAATATATAAATATGCATTTATGCAACTGACATTCTTGTTACGATAGTAATTATTCGATATTATAATTATACTAAAATATTACTTATGTACCTATATGCTATGGAACACCAATGTTCTAGGTCTCTAGGACGTATCCTTAAAATATATCTGTTATAATATTACTTAATTATTGGTTTTTATTTATTTATTTATTTATTGCGTACAATTCGAATAATTAAACAGGTACAACGAATTTTAAGCTTCTCACATAAAGGAAACGTATAAATATAAGATTAAATAATAATAGTTAATATTTATTATAAAGTACAGATGATAATTTTTTTTTTTTAACTCATTTGTTATTCAAATTATTTGATTAGTTTTAGAATTGTATTGAATAATTATAAACATAAAAATAAGGTGTTTTCTCCGTTTTATTAAACATCTTATTGATATGAACTGAACTTTCCTCTATTCCCATCAATATCGATAAAATATAAATACGAAGTGAGAGTGAAAGAATAACTGTGGCATAAACATACTACAAACAAGTATGCAAGAGAAATAGTAATAGGATAACTGATAAGGACATATGGTGTATTCATAATTCCAAATCGCGTTTCATAATTACGGTCTTCAACTCTCTTATTTAATGATCAATTCAAAATGGATATAAAATTATATAAATTAATTGTAATTATTGATTAAATAATAGTTTATCCTATCATATTAATTGTTTATGTTGTTAATAAATGTCTAAATATCTAAAAATAATTCTTAGTCTTTTCAACCTTTTTATAATCATACAATTATTATATACCATTTTAAAATTCAAGCGTTTATGTGTTAAATTATTCAAATATAATCTTAAATTTATTGGTGATATGCACATGAGAAACGTGTTTGTTTTAAATTGTTCAAACGATTTAATACAAGCTATTAAAATTATGTACAGTCGATTCAGCTTAAATGGAGACTTTGCATAAAGGGGACAAATGGCAGAGTCCCGAACGATTATATTTGTTTTAAGCAATTTAACATCGTTTATTGGAGACAAAACATCGTTTATAAGGGACATATAATCAATACATACCTACTTTCTTATCGAAACTGTAATTATCTAATATCTGTCTCTATCAGATTTTATATAATAATCTTATGTTTTAATGATAACAATTACCGACGTATTTTACTTTTGCTAATCATTTCTTTATATCCTACAACCACATATTTCGTGAAGTTAATTGAGTCGACTAGCTCGCGTACCAAATTGGTTAATAAGCAAAGTTTTAATAAATTACAGCAAAAAAGAATTGATGTTTTTTTTTCAGCACAACAAATATAATACAATACAAATACAACATATGTATTTTTTTGCAATAAATATGTATTCCTGTATATAATATAATTTACAATATCATAATATGTATAACAATTAATAATTTTTAAACAAAGTTTAAATTAAGTATGTATATTACTTATAGTAAAGATAAATAATGATAATAATATATAATATATATATATATATATATATATATATATAATGCACTTTAATAATTTTTAAAATTTTTTTTTAAAAATCGGTTTATTGGAACAGTCGGAACTCACCGTCCTGTGTTTTCCCATTAAGCGAATTCGACTGTGTATATTGTTTAATAAAAATATATGTGTATGCTATACATCATAATATATTGTGTTTATAACGTATTATAACATTCTTATAGTACAATTAAGTAAGTACATGAACGGTTACACGAATATATATTCTTTGTTCTTTGATTTTAATTTCATCATATTCACGAGAATATATGAATTTTTATTGATAAGTATTTCATTGTAAGTCTAGTGAAGGTCAAGTATAATAAACCCTTCCATTCAAAAAACAATAGTAAAAATACGTTACTGTGTGGAAGTATCGTTGAGACAAATCCTAGAAAAAAAACATATATATTTATGTGTTTGTGTATGTGTGTATGTCATCTAATGAGAGTATTAATTCCAATTAAAATTCAACATATTGTTGTCTATCTATTTTTTTGTGGCCTCACTTAAATCGTGATGCATTTTTACTTTCAATTTTCAATTATGATTAGAACACTACTCATTATAACAGTATAATAAAATAATTGACGGTTATACCGACTAAAATCGTTTTCTGAGTTAAACGGTTTATCAATTTAAAGCAGTTGATTTGCGTACTTCACACTTACAAGTTAAAACCATCTTACAAATGCATTTCTGTGACTATACATCCACAAGCGTAATATACTGAACTATACTTCATTCTGTTCTGAACTACATTTTAAAACAAAAAACGTATAATTCCTAGCGAAGTTAACATTTGAATTAGATACCTAAGTTCAAGAAAATTATTTGCTCCATCCTTGGACCATGACCTTAGAATTAAAATTAATTATTATCAATATAAAGGTCATCGCTAAATACTACCCTAGTAATTATTCAACGATATAGATCATACGCAACTACAGTTCTACTTAGTTTAATTACAAAATTACACAATAATTATGTATTTAATAGCATGAAATTAAAATCAAATATGAAAATATTAAAAATATAGATTTGATAAAAACTAGATCAAATAAATTAATAAATAAATAATAATGAATAATATGATATTATATTTTTGATATAAATAATGATGTGAGAAATGTGATGACTTTTAACTTTTAATGTTTTTATATGGAAAGAATTTTCCTGTTAGCATGTTATTTATGGATTGAGAAAAACTCTTAAAAGTATTATTTCTGAAATTATATTTAAAAAATTTGTTTGAAAAGGTAAAAAAAAATTCTATATATATTAGAATTTATACAAAATTAATATTAATAGTTTTGCCTTAATCTATATAATAATGAATAAATAAAAATTAATAAATTAAATAATTTTTATGATACAGTTATCCACTTTCTTATTTTACTAATTTTAATGTTAATTTAGATTTTATTTAATACAACTGTTACGTTTAACATTAAAAAACCTTGGAATTAAATTGAAGCTTATTTTACATATAAGTATATATATATAAATTTTAAATAATATAAAAATATGTGAAAATCATTATCCAATATTATATTTCATAATTTTAAAACGTTTAAAATAACTTGTGATAGGTGGTGAGTATTAAGCCTATCTCGAATCGGCCCCGCCTTGTGTTACATTATTGTAACTTTAAATATTATTAAAAACACAAACATTTTAATGTTATCTTATTTAAGCCCGTGTTTTGTTCATTGATTTTCTAATTACAACTAAATGTTTTGTTATGTACAAAAGATAATAAAAAAATTGAATTTATATTTTTTTAAATAAATTCTATAATTTTATACATTACTAAGAAAATTAGATCATCACATAAATGCAATATTAAGTTAATTCAGTGTCCATCTAGAGTAGTTTTGCCAATAATATTGCAATGATTAATCACTACTTTCGTACTGATATTAATAATACATTTACTTACTAATACCAATAATACGGAACGAAAGAAACGAAATGAATATCCATTCTACATTTTTAGGTTTAGGTCATTAAATATTACAGTTTTTTATATTTTATTATACGAGTACCTATTACACATATAAATTGTATAATAATATCATATTTCCATTAAAATAACGTACTTATAGAATAAATATCAATAGCTTATAAATATATTGGTTACATATTTTATGAGAATTACAAATGCAAAACATTATCATTAATACAAATATTTTAAGTTTAAAATTACTTATACTTAGTTAAGTAACACTTATATTTTAATATTTAATTGGCATTCGACGTGTATACTTCATGTTAGGTTTAAAATATAATAATTCCATAACTAATAGTATAGGATTATCAAGATATGGAGTTAAATAAACTACAAATTATGATGATTAATTATTATACTAAATTAAAATTCATAATTATATTATTAAGAATAATCGCATGATAACATTTAATAAAACTGATAAATAAAGTTTAAAAAGTTGCAAATACTTTTACAACCTATTGTAATAATATCTATGAATGACTGTGAGTTAAGTAATTATAATAATGTTCCTTTAATTTTACATTGTACAACTATAAATGATAAATAAATTTCGCAATTGCATTTTAATTTAATTTTACTGATAGATTAATATCAATACCAAATCAATGGTATCCTTCAATTGTAAATATGATATGATTAGATTTTCAAATATTTATTATACCAACGTTATAGAAATTTAATTAAATAGTGATTACCTTAATTATAATTTTAAAAATTACGTAAATTACCTCACGTAGTGTTAT